GTGGCCAAGCCAGGGTGATGTCAGCCTGTGCCTGTGTCTCCTGCAGGTGGAGGCAGGCATGGCTGGATCCAGGTGTTCAAATGAAGTCCTTGAACACTGCTTCTCTCTGTGCTTGCTCCCTGCTGCTTCAACAAGTCACGTGCCTATCTCTGAACCAATCATTCTGACCAGACAGACAATGGTTGATTGACCAGACAGAGAATGTTTGTCTTCAAGCCTGTGATGGCCAGAGAGTGTGGGGGATCAGTTCCCAAGGGCAGATGGGGCACTGCTTCTGATGGGTTTGAAAGGCAGAAATAAGAGATCAACTGTGACGTCCCTGGCATGGAGAGCAGCATGTGCAGAAGGGTGGAAAGAGGTCTTCATGGGGTTAGAGGTCAGTGTGGCTGGAGCAAGAGGCATGTGGGAGGGGGTGTTGGAGGGTGACAATAGAGAATCTGAGGAGAAAGGTGGGAATGGAATGGTGATGAGAGACTTCAAGTATTATGAATAACAGTGAAGTGAGTGGGGCAGGTCCTTAACTCCTGCCCTCCCTCCCATCGCTGGCACAAAATCTTATATATATAAAAAACAAAACAAAATCGAGTCCACTGCCATCGAGTTGAATCTGACCCATAGCAACCCCCACTGGATTCCAGAGCTGTAAATCTTTATGGAAGCAGATCTCCTCATCTTTCCTCTGTGGAGTGGCTGGTGGGTTCAAACCACCAACCTTCTGGTTGGCAGCCAAATGCCCTAACCACTATACCACCAGACCACCTTTGTGCATAATAGGTACTCATAACTATTTGATAGAGAGCCCTGGTGGTACAACAGTGAAGTTCTCGGCTGCTAACCAAAGTGTTGGTGGTTCAAACCCACCAAGCAGCCATGTGAGAGAGAGACCTGGTGGCCTGCTTCTGTGAAGATCACAGCCAAGATAACCCTAGGGAGCAGTCCTTCTCGGCCACAATAACAAATATTTGATAGGTAAGTGAATCCCTTCCAAATTCTCCAAGAGAGGAAGAATTGTAAAAAGGAGCCAGGGGAAAGAGAGAGCATACAGACTCATAT